GGATACTCTCTAGCTTATGGCACCTTGAACCCTGCATGTAGTCGTGTTGCTGTTCAGCAGCCTGCCATGCTCTGCCAACCTTGGGACTTTCAATGGACTTATATCAATGGCCTGCCATGTGGTTTGGCACTTGTGCCTTATTACTTGTTAACCTTGGGATTGTCAGCCTCAGCAGCCAGCAGCTGAGTGAAGAAAAGCCTCTAGCTTCAGTGAGCCAGGAGCAGGAGGAAGAGCTGCAACCCAAGGTTGAGGGGCTTTTACCCAGCCCCTACAACCTGGCACTTTGAACTTGGACTTAAAGCCTCCAAACTGTGAGAGAATAAACTCCTGTTTGTTAAAGCCATCCCACTGTGGTATATTTCTGTCAGAGCAGCACTAGTTAACCAGAACAACTAGTATTAACACTATTGGTTCTCAATGGGTGATACAATAATACAAACATAAAATAAAGGCATCATCTAACATTCACTGAATCTTTGTCATATTCCATACCTGATGCTAAGCACTTTACATGGAATATCTCATTTAATCCTCAGGACAACCTATGAGGTAGATAGTGTTGTTTTAATAAAGAGATTTAACAGTGTTTAATTGTTTTCAAAATATTTTCATAAAGAATATCTAATTTGGGTTTTAGTGAGAAAAAGAAAACTACTATCATCATCCCTACTTTTCAGATAAAAAGGATGAAACTCAAAGAAATTCAGAGAGTTAGTTGCCCAAGGAAACACAAAGAAGTGACAGAGCTGGGACTACCGTACAGTGATGCCCAAGGATGCTCTCCAGTGGTCTACTACGATACCCACTCAATGTATTCAGGGCCAGCAGATGACAAGGTTCCTTATTTCTGAGAATGTGCTTGAACTCTAATAGTATTATTATTATTTTTTTTTTAAAAAGGAAAACCAGCAACATTCTCTCTTCATGCCACAGTAATTTTTTTGCAATACCAAGTAAGAAGTAGTCTCTCAAAGTAACTACTTTGGTTCTGAATATGTTGTTTTAAAAAAGTCATCTTACTTGATAGTCATAACTTCCAAGGCAAACTATAGTCAGATTCCAAAGCACATATCAAACTTTTATGGATAAACACTTCCTAGTCTATCTAGACTGTTAACCATTATTTTATAAGCAACAATCAAAATAAATAAGAGTATTAAAATAGAATATTAAAGCCAGCAAAATAAACGTACTGATATTAGTTGTCACTCTAAGCTCAATTCTTAGGGAAATTTCAGAGGAATTGTTAAAAAGTTGTTTCCAATATTATAAATTTATATATTGGAAAGCATCAAGCAACCCAACTCTTTTTCTTCTTATATATGTTGTTTTCAGAATGGGTAATAGGGAGGTAGTAGAGAGATTTTTATACTCTTCAAAAGGTATATATGTTTGAAAAGTTGGAGAAACTTCTGTATTATAAGAATAAAGAAGAAAAAAATTGTTGACCATTACATACTGGAAATCCACTTTTTCAAAGTAAGTACTAAATTGAAATCATATAGTAACAGGACTCCATGTGGATTAGTGAGGTACCATTAAAAAAGAGCAGTAGCCTCTCCTCGGAAGGAAGATGGGGCAATCTACTTCCGTAGTGATACTGCCTCGGAAACCCAAGGAGGGGTCGCTATGAGTCGGGTCTGACTCGATGGCACATAACAATAACAACATGGTCTAGATATTCCATTTTCTACAGAAACCATTTCAAATACAGTCACTTTGTCTTCTGTGGAGAGCATCTGATGCTGGCCCAGTCTGTAGCAAATGGCACATGAGAGGGAGGTCTGATCTTACACTGAAGACACACTTCATCTATGATCCCTTTCAAATCATCTATCACTTCAAAAACCCTTCCCAGAGGAAATTATAAAGAATAGTAAACATGGCATTTTCCATGCCTCCATATTGGTTTGAACAATGATTCCAGAATGCCGTCAGACATTCCCTACTTCAAAGAGCATTAAGTTAAAAACAGAGTTAACTTGACTTTTAATTTATAAACAGGTCCTATAACAGGCATCCATAGGGCAAATTCAAAATGTGGCCCTGTTGGGTTCACTGGAAAAATCAATGGAAACCTAGGTAAGGATTCTATATTCAAGATACCTCAACTGTAGGAAGCAACGTACAGTAATTTCTAATAAAACTGAGAAGCCCTGACAAACATTTTTCCTGAATGACATTAGGACTAGAGGACAGGACTAAAAGTTATACTCAATCTGATTTACTGTATAAGGAAAACAGAAATACATTGTTATTTTAAAAGAAGAACATAAATAAATTTTTAAATCATCCACTAGGGGCCCACTTCTTTGTATAACATTTCAAAAGTATTTTTTGTGCCTATTCATGTATTTCATGATCACTGCAGAAATTCTAGAAAATAGATTAAAATTTAAAGGAATACAAAAACATCATCATCCGCCAATAACTTACTTTCAGCTCTACTGTCCTGGGCACTTGCACGCACATGTGTACATGTGAGTGTGTATATACACAGAGGCACACATACGACTGCAGAATTTTTGAGATACAATTTTCAGTGAATGCATAGCATTCCCTCTATGGCTAGGCCCTCATTTATTTAACAAGTCCTCAACTGTTAGATATCTAGGTTGTAAAACTATGATAACTTTTCACAAAAAAAATAGCTGAAATCTGTCATATCATACATCTTTGTGAAACGTGTATGGAGCAATGTTAGCCACAAGGAAAAAAAAACTAGGAAAAAAAAATCAACATATTTCCCTCTAAAAACAAAGTTGTTGTTGTGTGCCGTGGAGTCATACCTGACTCATAGTGACCCCTCCCTGGGTTTCCAAAGCAGTATCACTACAGAAATAGCTTGCCCAACCTTCCTTCTGAGGAGTGGCTGGTAGGTTTGAACCGCCAGCCTTCTGGTTAGCAGTCAAGTGCCTTAGGCACTACGCTACCAAAGCTCCTAAAAACAAAGTAAGGAACCAATTATAGACTCAGGGTCAAGTGGGTTAGGAACCTGGAAACATTAAAAATTTCTCCTAAACTAGAAAATCATTACTATTAAAAGCTCCCTCTAATAAAACTCTAACAAAGTAAGAACTATTTCATCTTTTTTTATGCTCCAGACAGACTTATAACTAAGGTTGCCCCCAATATTTCTTAAAACCAGACTTATAGATTAATATCACATTTGCATTACTGAATATGCATGAACACTGATTTACTGAGCAGCATCTATAAAGAAAATACATTTAAACTTGTATTACATTGGAATGAGTTAGCTACCAAAATCGTTAAACAGCAATCTTTTTGATGTCTGAAGTTTTTACTGAACTATTTTAACTCATCAACACTAAGGTGTTTTTCTGTTTTCATGACTGCATGTATTCGTGACCACAACCACTGTGAGAATCAGCTAGTGATCCCGGGTAACATACTCCAAACTGAAAAAAACTCACTGCCATACAGTTGATTCTGACTCACAGCAACCCTTTAAGATAGAGAACTTCCCCATAAGGCTGTAAATCTTTACAGAAGGAGGCTGCCTCATTTTTCTCCGTGGAAGAAATCGCCTTGGTTAGCAACTGAGTGCTTTAACCACTATGCCACCAGAGCTCCTTTACTCCAGACTAGAGAACTCCTAACAACAGCAACAATAGAGAGGAAGGCACTGCCACTAACGTTCACTCTACAGTTGGCACTGCACTGTGGGGTTCTGTTAGCTAAAGGGAATAGGAGAATAGCATGGTTTATTTATAGGCGACTTTTTCTTTCTGGGAAAATCACCCTTTCCCACCAAGGTCACAGGTTCAAGTGGGGTTTTCAGTGAAGTGGACAGACAGTAGACACATCAATGCGGGAGATCAGAAAGGTGATCTATCACAGCCCTGTCACTCAAAATCTGGGTGATATAGATTAAGAATGTTGTCTCACCTAAAACATGGAACCCAGGACAGAAAATGAAGGTCGCATCAGGAAATGCACTCTCACTTTCAGTGAATATGATCTTACCTGTGGCACTCTATTACCTCCCTAATGGCGCTACAGATTGGGGTCATTTTGTTGACAGTCCATCGTTTTTCTGCTCATGCAGGATATAACCACCAATGCTACTTTTATAAACTCCTGGTTCCATGAAAGAAAAAAAAAAAAAAAACCCGCGTAATCCAGGGACGTTTCATAAGTGGGAGCTTAAGTAACGCCTTTTGAGATACGTTTCTGTACATCCTGGTACTTACGTTGTTTTCCTTGAGTTACCCAGGTTATTATTTTTTAAAAAACACTCCTCTCCATTACCTCTTCTACTACTGTGGATCTAAATCTTTATCTCTACCACACCCTCCGCAGCCTTAGGAAGAGCAGAACGGAAGTACCCCCCACGAGGTAATGTTGACGGGGAGGGTTGGAAAGACTAGGAGTGACACAGGAAACTGTCCGGTCAAAATCAAATAAATTTAAGTCCACCAAACCTACTTTTAAGCCATTTCGTTTTTTCTCTCCTGCCTAACTGGCCTTTCGGGACATCCCGACAGCATCGAGGTGAATAAACACCTGCCGTCACATCCCCCGACTCCAATCTAAGCCCTTCCTTGTATTACTTTTCTCAGAAAGCTCAAACGCCATCCTCACCATCACCCCTTCCAGAGACTATGCCCCCAAGCCTTCCTTAACTTTGGAAGCTACGAATGGAGGGCGGGGGGTGGGGGCACAGCAGGCCATACGAAGGAAGAGAAGCCAAAGCCGCCCCTGTCTCCTAGGACTGCCTCCGGCCGAGTCGCCAGCAGTCGCCTTTGGCTCTGGCCGGTCCTCCCAGGGCTGTGGACGCTGGGCCCGGGGCGCTCTGGGAAGGCACTATGCAAGCGGCCGCCTACACCAGCCGGGCCAAGGCACCGTCCACAGTTGCCGCTCCTTTAGGGCTCGGGCCTGGCTGCCAAGGAAAAGGGTCCGGCGGGGCCTCCGCCACTCCGCGGGCGGGCCCCGCCTCCAGCCTGCCGCTCCCGGGCCGCCGTCGGAGCTCTTACCCGCAGGACGTGGTAGCCTTCCGTGCCTCCGCCTGGGATCTCGACGCTCTGCGAGGAGCCCATGGCGGCGGCCGCGGCGGGCGATCGGTGTGGCTGGGCTTCTCGCCGCTCCCCGCCTCCTACACACCTCCCACTCCGCTCCTCCGCGTAGTACTTGGGACGTGGCACTCGCTGCCGCCTGAGAGCCGGGCCGCACTGCCCGCCGGGAGATCGTCGCCGCGGCAGCCGGGACCGCTGCGACGCCACAGACAGCGCCACCTACCGCGCACAATCGGGAGGGGTCTGAGTGCGCGCAGGCGGGAAAGAAGAGCTGGAGGAAAATGGGGAGGGCCTTACTCTTGCTCGCGAGACAGCAGAAATTCGATTCATCTAGCCGCAACACCTTGCTACGGAGCCCTAAATTGGACAAGATTTATCTAGATGCCATCCTCCACTCACGAAAGGACTTTTCCTTGGCTGCATTGCCCCCTGGCGGTTAAAGGCTGGAAAAGGGCGGCTCCTGAAAATAATAGGGGTGGATGCAAATCCCGCGAGTTCCTTAGTCTCTGGCTTTGTCCCAATTTCTCACCACTAAGACGGCACATAACAACAACAACAAGGTGCCTAAGGCATTTGACTGCTAACCAGAAGACTGGAGGTTCGAACCCACCAGTCAGTCCTCGGAAGGAAGGTTGGCATTAATTCTGTAGTGATACCGCCTCAGAAACCCAAGGAAGGGTCGCTATGAGTAGGGTTTGATTAGAGGGCAGGGAGTTTGGTTAGTTTTTGGTAAGGGTGATAAGGAGCTTTGGTGGTGCAGTGCCTAAGGCAGTTGCCTGCTAACTAGAAGACTGGCGGATCAAACCCACTACCTGCTCCTCTGAAGGAAGAATCTATTTCCGTAAAGGCTTACCGCTTAGAAACCCAATAGGGGTCTCTCTGACTCGGAATTGACTTGATGGCAGTGGGTTTGTTTGTTTTGTTTTTTTTTTTTTTTGAAGGATGATGATGTTGGTCTTTGTGAGCTAAATACTATGGCTGCTCAGCCCAGTTTTATAAAGGGGAACTAAACTCCCTTAAACAAAGCTGCTGTCCCAAGGAATCATGGAGGAGTAACCAGATTTGATTTGTTTTATTAGTTTGCCCTCCGTAACTGTGAGAACCAACCGTCATGTCAGTTTGTGGTAAGGCCGTAGCTTGTGTGTTGCTATCATGCTGGAAGCTATGTCATTGATATTTCAAATACAGGCAAGGTCACTCAAGTTTCAGTGGAGCCTTCCAGACTAAGTGGGAAGAAAGGTCTGGTCTACTTCTGAAAATTAGCCAGTAAAAACCCTATGGATCATAGACTATTGTCCAATGCTTGGACTGCTTACTTTGGACGTGTCATCAGGAGGAATTATTCGCTGGAAAAGAGCATGATGTTTGCTAAAGTGGAGGGTCAGCAAAGGTGAGACAAACCCTCAATGCCGTAGATTGACACAATGTCTGCAACAATGAATTCAAACACACCAAGGATCATCACGTGGTGCAGGACCACGTGATGTTTCGTTCTGTTATCCTGAGTTTGTCATGAGCTGAAGGAGACTCAACGGGAACTAACAACAACAAATAAATACAAAAATACATAAATGAAAGCTCCCATTAGCAGGCTTCTTAAGGACAGAGTGTACAGTGGACTCTTCTTTGTGTTCCTAATACTTAACACAGCCCCGGCAGCTAATTCAGCGAATTAATGAATTTAGTGCAAGGGAATAAATATAGAACTAGATTTGATAATGCATGATAATTGTAATCCTCTTCATGGTGGCTTCATAAAATATTACTGTGTTCAGTGGTCAAAATTTTGGGACCAGCTATTTCCCAAATGTCTAACACTAGCCAAAGTTTGCAGAACTGGGCTATGGGCCTCTTCTTTTGTATGAGAGGCTTCTCAACACCCATATGTAAGCCCTTCCTCATAGCTATACTGCATGCTTTAGTTGCGTGTGACTACTTGCTATTCGCTATATAGTGCATTTACTTTCTTACCTCTTGACTTTATTCATGCTAAGGTCGATATCTGGAATGCCCTTCCCTACATTTTCAACTTAGAAGAATCCTAACTGCTCCTTTAGGCTCATCTCAAGTGTTACTCATTTATCCTAAAGTTCAAAATTATTCTCCTCACTCTGAGTTCCTGGAGCAGTCAGTTCTTTCATTTCTGGAAATGTCATAATTACAGGCCTGTCTTCCACCCCTCATTCAGGGTGAAGAACATGTTTTTTTTTTTTTTTTTCAACTTTGGATCCCCCGTTCCTGGTTGAGTGTCAGGAACATGATAGGTGATGTTTGAGTTTGAATGGAATGTGTGTAATAAATAGCTTCCCAACTCTTTCTTTTTCAGGATCAGTTAGTCCGTTGCCTCTGCTGCTCCTATTTGTACCTCATCAAAACCTGTGTCATTTCATTAGTGGTATTTCATAGAGTTTCATTTACAAGGCCTACACTGAAAAAAAAAGTGATAACCATTCTCCATTTTTCCTGGTACAGATTGTTTTCCTCTTTTATTAGGGAATAGATTGGAGGACAGAAAATAAATCCCAAGGGTATTGCCAAAGAAATACACATGGGAGATTATTGTCCAAATCAGCCTCAACTGGAGTAGGAATCTGCTGCAGGCAAGTTGTTCAGAAACATCACTAAACCCAAACCAAACCCATTGCAGTTGAGTTGATTCCGACTCATAGTGACCCTGTTAGACAGGTAGAACTGCCCCCTAGGTTTTCCAAGGCTGTAAATTGTTATGGAAGCAAACTGTCACATCTTTTATTTATTTATTATTTTTTTATTGTGATTTCCGTGAATATTTACAGAACAAATTGATTTTCCATTCAACAATCCATACATATTTGGTTTGTGACATTCACTGTAATCTGCACACTGTAACAGCTTTCTTCCCACTCCTTCCCTATGCCTACCCCTTCCATTAGTCCTTCATTGCCGTCCCCTCCCACCTTTCTAGCTCTATCCTTGGGCAAATGACCCTGATTCTTGATCTCATATGCTTGGTTGTTCTAATCAATGCATACGGTCCTGGTATTACTGTTCACCATATAGGCCTGCCTATTGTTTGACTGAAAGTTGAGTCACAGGGATTAAGTTCAGTCCCTTGCTTTAAGGGTATCTAAGGGCCACAGTCTTGGGGGTTCCACCAATCTTCATCAGACCAGTAAAACTGGTCTTTTTATGATGCGAGGTTTTGTTCCATATCTTCCCTCACTCTATGCAGGACCTCTTATTGTGATCCCTTTCAGAGCAGTCAAGACTGCTGTATCTTTCTCCCTCAGAGCAGCTGGTGGGTTAGCAGCCTCGTGCTGTAACCACTGCACCACAAGCCTCCTTAAAATATCACAGGCAGCAGAGTCCAGCAAAAGGAAATGTCTACAGACTGAAAAAATCAAACCAGGAGAAATCTACTTTGCTGGGAGATGCATCTTAGACAACATTTTGTGTAACTACTCTGGGTTTTATTAATTTTAAGTTCTCATAAATAAGTCATTCATAATAGAAGGGTCATTTTTTATCACAATGGCTGGTGCATCCTAATCATCTTGCCTCCATACTGTTCTGGGGATGTTGGGTTCCTGCTGTATGTGTATGACAACCACATAAGGATGGGTTAGATTAGGCACCTCCCTCATCCATAGCCCCTAACTAGTTTGTTTTGCTGAAGGTACAAACTGGAAGAGGGGTCATGTTCCATGCTGTGGAACCCTAGTCACAGCTGACTGGACTAGAGGGTTGACCTTTGGGCAACTACCACATACATTGATCAATAACCTACAAGGTAGACTGTTAGGAAAAAAAATTTCCCAAAGAAGGATGATGGTGACTAGCTAGGCCAATCAGATTTTCACTCTGGTGACTTGGAACTGGGAAATAGAAGGAGAAACTCAGTCAGTGTATATTTATTTGTGTATTAGAATGTAAGCTCCAAGGGGGCAGGGTCTTCGTTTGCTTACTATTATACAATTGTTGTTGTGTTGTTGTTAGGTGCCATCGAGTCGTTTCCGACTCATAGTGACCCCATGCACAGCAAAATGAAACACTGCCCGATCCCGCACCAGCTCCATGATCCCTGCTATACTTGAGCCCATCATCACAGCCACCACGTCAATCCATCTCGTTGAAGGCCTCCCCCTCTTTTGTCGACCCTCCACCCTACCAAGCATGACATCTTTCTCCAGGGAATGGTCCTTTCTGACAACACGACCAAGGTAGGTGAGACAAAGTTTGGCCATTCTCGCTTCCAAGGAGCATTTCGGGTGCACTTCCTCCAGGACAGATCTGTTAGTTCTTT